CAAAAATATGACAGGAAAATATATGGCTACTTGCAAATCGCGAGTAGTATAACTTGATGCAGTGTATGTTATAAGCGATGTGGTTCATTGTAGTGATTCATTGTAATCTGATGGAGTTTTTACCTTCATTGCGTCTGCACTTGATTCATGTCCAGTCTACTCTTAAATGCATTGACACAAGTGGAGAGGACAACCTCTTCTGGAAGAGCGTTTCACGCTGAAACTACTCTGTTGGTAAAGAAAAATTTCCTTCCGTCGATCCTTGCTTTGCCCGAGCGTGGAATAAGGGAATGCCCGCGCAAAGTTGGCGTGTTAGCCTGGGCAAAGAAATCACCAGCTTTTGTCTTAGAGAAATCAAGGGCCGCCTGCGTGGGCCACAAAAAGTCAGAATGACAGAAGATTACTTTGTGGAGGACGATAAATCCACCTAATGAGGCAGAAATGGCCATTCTAGTGTCCCATGTCTTTGTCGGTAATGTCCTTCTGCCTAGAACGATAAATGTATATCTCAGGAATTTAAGTTAGGCGAACGAACGTTCTCGATAAATTCACCATTAGGCAAATACAATAATATAAGGGAGGGTTGAGTCAACAAAGGTTTAAGCAGCCAATCAGTGTTAACTAGGGGAAAGGAACAGAGGTGTTCAGGGATCAAGGGGGTCAGATTCTAGTCTTAATTAGGGACAGGAAAGGAGAAGGGGTCTGACAAGTAGTTCATTTCGCCCCGTCGTTCTTGTCTGGCGTTTTGTTTGGAGGCGTGGGGACCCTGAAACTGTTGTTGTCTATACCCTAGCTTGACTTCCTGAATGCTTACATGGGTATCATCATTGAAATGTATATCTGGTCGATAAAAAATACATACTTTTAAAATCGCCGGTATTCAACTAGCCAAGAAACATCGCAGCCAGGTTAACCGTATTACCGGCAAGAAGCCTTTAGGTTTTTTTAAATTGCTAGATTTAGGCATTGTGTGATCCGATGCATGGGAAATGTTTTCTGCATGCTAAAAATTTAACTGTGGAACGGAAGCTTCAGTTTAACCGAAACTCTTAAAATCGTCGCGTTTTGATAGCTGCATTTAAGCATTTTTAAATGGAAATTTTCCTCCAACCCTTATTATCCAGGTGTCAGTATGAAGTCCTCTTCCGTACCCCCGCCTGAAGTAACGGATCTCTGGGCCATCGCACCCGACCAAAAGGCCTACTATCTTTCTCAGTTCTTGAGGCTGCAATCGGATCCAAGCGGCTATCTTAGTGGATTACAAGCAAAATCCTTTTTTGAATTGTCGAAGCTTCCCATTCAAGACCTTTCTAGTATATGGTAATCCACTTCTAATGTGAAAGACACTTATTGGCATATTTCAAGGTCTATCGCGGTAATTTTTACTCTTTTGCCGGTCTTCTAGGGAACTATCGGATGTAGACTGTGATGGCAAGCTGACCCTAAGCGAATTTTGCGTGGCGATGCATTTAGTGGTGTTGCGGCGTAACAACGTGCTGCTTCCGAAGCAATTGCCCCAAACACTTCGGCGTGAGGCCACTTCGAGTGCCCTCTCTGCTGTCAATCTCCCGCGTCGTTCTTCGCCTGATCAACCTCTTTCTCCACCCTCTCCTCCAGGGTACTGTTACAATCAAATATATTCACTTACTCACATTCA